GCCGGGGCCTGCGGGTGGCCTTGGAGAGAGATGTCACACCAGGCCACCAGGCAAAGACACCAAGGGTCCCGGACTCCTCCAGTGCCCCCCGAAGAAGCACCAAACAGAGCACTGCGCTGCTTGCCATTGGCCTCCCTTCTCCCTTCTCCCTCTCCCTTCTCCCTAGACTGGATGCCTGTTCAACTCAGAACCAATTGCGACCCTTTGTTGTTGTTTTTTTCAAGAACAAACCATCAACAGTTCCCCAGAGGCTCCCAGCAGGGCAGGGGGAGCAGGTGTCTCCGTGGTGTGTTCAAAGGTCCTCGTGACCTTGAACCTTGTTCTCACCAGCAGGGGGGTGGGGGTCTGCGCCGTGGGCCCCGGGGGTTGATTTCATTGGGGAGCCTGAGTGTGTACTTCACGTCATGAAGCACGTGCTTTAGGTCAACACGCCAAGAACACGGCCAACATTCAGAACCCAGAAAGTAAAGGCAAAAAGCTACGAAATCCCATGTGTCAAAACAGAAAGTCACTTAAATGACAGGAGCCCGGGAAGCCTCACCGGCTCTCCTTAACCCTGAGACCCACCTCGCCAGCCGCCAGCCTTGGAGCCAGGAGTCGAGACAGGCCAGGCAGGCTGTGGTATTAACATGTTTAATTAAACTCTGCATCTGGCTGCCTGAGCAGTGAGTTCTGTGATTTCCAAGTGCCGAACGGGAACTTAGTGTACAAATGTGCAAACCGTGGAGGCGTGACTTTTTGAAAATTGAAGAAAGTGCCCCTGATGACAGCGAGGAGAGGGGGTTCTGCTACGGGCCCCCCGGACGCTGGCTCTGCTGTTCCCCACGCCCCACAGCACAGCCCCGGGTTTCACACTTCATTTCAACCAGTCAGTCGGAAAGGGGAGCAGAGATGGGCCGCTCCCGGCAACTCCGCCTGGTGTCCGGCCCCGTGGGAATCTCCAGGCTGGCGCTGGCCCTCGGCCAGCTCTGGTGGGAAGTCAGAGAACTTCCCAGAACGCCGGCTGCTGGCTCTGCGGCTCTGGAGCGGCTGGGTCTGTGTCCCCAGAGTCCACGCTAAGGGGCAGCCAGGGGACCCGCAGGGTCAGTGTCTCTGGGAATGGAGTTGGGGGTCTCAGTGTGCGCCTGTGTTTCTCATGAACTCTTAACAACCTTCAGCTCAAACTCAACAGCCCTGACTTCAGGGAACGGGCTCGCAGCCCAGGGCTCCCCTCCGGGAGCGGCGTGAGCATTTAGCTTTTCAGAGAACAATCGTTCTCGGTGGCGGTCACCTGAGCCCTGCCCGCCCATGCCAGGGTCCCAGCCGTGCGGGCAGGTGCCTGAGGACGGAACCGGCTGGGCCCTGTGCGGGTCCACTTGTGTGCTCAGAGGCGTCACTGGCAGCTCCAGAGTCAGGGACCGGGACGCCGGTCACAGCAAAGCGACCTCCCAGGATTCCCACCGAGAGCCCAGCCAGGGCAGGGTCCCCCTTCAATGTGGACCCCTGGTTCCGACATCTCAGACGTGACCTGTGAGCAGCTAGACCTGAGGCTGCGGAGCAGAGACTGTCCGCGGAGCCCACCACGCCTGTAAGGGCCCCACGCTCCAGGCGCGACGGAGCCCGGCTCACGTTCACGCCACTGGTCACGCGGGCTGCCTTCCTACGGGCACAGTGAGGGCGTCTTGTGACGGTTAAATGAGGGAGACGCCACCGAGGACGATCACGCTGGATATATTTTAAAGTACAGACTTGCAGTGCTCTGGGAGGACAGCCCAGACACGAGTGATTAAACATATTCCTAGAAGTGTGCGGGTTATACCATCAGTGAACAGTCCAGTGCAGACACGGTGCGTTCTTCCCTCTCTCAGAACAAAAACACGCCCGTTGTTGGAATATCAGAAATAAAATCGTAACTGTGCTAAGATCAGAGTGGCAGTCCTCAGCTCCTGTCTCCCCAGCTCTGTGCTAACCTGCTCCCCGCCCCCCTAAGACCGGGACACCCAGAGTTCGAGTGTGGCAGCTGGAAGGGAGGTTGGAGGCAGTGTGGGAACCCACGAAGAGGGGTTCACGTAGGGTCCTGCGGGATTCAGCGTTGTGGTCACCTCGCGCTGACACTGCAGGGCTTGTAACTGCGCGTGCGCTCCTGGGGGTGGGCACACAGGTACCTCACATCACAGACGCCCAGTCGGTCACAGGCGCTGTGGTGCTGACGGTGAAAAGCTGATTCGCAGGAGCCACGCCTACACTCAGCTCAAAGGTGCCCAAACTAACACACACTGCCTCCTCCAAGCCCGCAACCGGCCAGCACAGCCCACACCTGCCGCTGCCACCAGCCACCACCACCCAGGCGGCAGAGGGTGCCGGGGAGGGAAGCTGAGCCCCTGCGCCCTCGATCTCCCCCTGCCCTGCTGGCGCCCTGGCCACGGCTCCCCAGTCGCTTACCCCACAGGCAGGCTCCCAGGGGCCCTGGTCGGGAGAAAAGGCAGAGGGTGCCTCTCTGGCTCCAGGGAGCAGGCCTGGCCTCTGGCTCGCACTGCCCACCTGCGGGGCAGGGGCTGGGCCTCTTCCCTGGGTGGGACAGGTGCCGCCCAGATGGCACGATGCCCAGGGCCAGGGGGAGCTGGGCTGCCCTGCCCACCTCCCTGGCACGTGCCTCAGAAGCTTTTTGGGAGCCATGACAGTCCGAGTCAGGCTCGTGTGGCATTAGTCATGGACCCCAAAAAGGGCCCTGCTAAGGTCACCACCTGTCCAACAGCAAGTGGGCCGAGGGCACTTCTCCTGCAAACCGCAGGCCCCTGGGCACCTGGGAGGACTTCAGACACCGGCTACCCTTGAAGGAGGATCTCCAGTTGACTGCCTGGTGGCCCATGATCCTCCCGCTGACTCACGCCGTTCCCTGCACGCTATGTGAGGAATGCGAGGGCTAAAACCATCTCCTCGCCGGCTCGGCCCTCAGCAGCCTTTTTTGGTTGTTCTATTAGGAAAGAATGCAAAATGCACAGCATTCACCAGACTTCCTGTGCGGGGAAGAAGAAACAGACCAGACGGCAGCGTTCTGTAAAGGGCGGATCGCGTCTTCCTTCATCCTGCATTCCTCTTCTCACTGGTTTCCCAAAGGGCACGCGGGAGCCCGAGCTGTACCTGTGTTTGCAGCCTCTGCGTGCACTGCCCCCGAAGGCCCGGGAGATGTTCCAGAGGGAAGGCAGGAGCGGGGCCTACTGTTGGCAGCTGACGTAGGTCTCCTCTGGGAGCTGTGTCCCAGGAACACCCAAGGCTTGCAGTTTGGCATGCTCGCAAAAGGAAGTGCAGTGGCTCGGTGGTGGGGCATCCGCCTGTGAACCAGGGGGTCACATTCCACGCCAGGTTGTGGGATGGATCCCCAGTAGGGGGCGTGCAGGAGGCAGCCGATCCATGATTCTCTCTCATCACTGACGTTTCTATCTCTCTCCCTTTCCCTTCCTCTCTGAAATCATTAAGAAATAATGAAAGGAAATGCAGATGTTTGGGGAACATTATCAGAGAAATGTCCGAGAAATAGCACAGGTCAGAGCAGCTCGGAGAGGGAAGATGTTGAAAAACATACATTGAGCAGGTGAAGAAGAAAGTAACATTTTAATAGGATGGTGGGAAAGAGAGCGGGCGGAGTGACAGCAGAGCAAAGGCGCGCAGACGTCCGCGCGGGTCACAGTGGGGCCTCGTCCCTGCACCCAGACGCGTCTTCTCGAGCGTCTCTACCGCATCCCCCCCACCCCCCGCCACCCGCCATGTGGGGTGATGTTCCCCCCGGAGCCGCCAAAAGTGCTCTGTGATCTACCCGCATTCACGCTGAATACTTTCCAACGTTGCTCAGGCTCGGACTTAAAATAGCTATGAGCAAGGTCTTCAGGTTCCTGTCAGTCACGTGGCCGACTCCGCGGCCAGCTGGGCGACCGCAGGGTGTGAGCAATCCCTACCCCAAGGTAACCTTGTCGGAATCCTCCTGGTCCGTCAGAGGTAAATCATAACGTGAAGGTGCGAGATTAGAGCCACAAGGCGCAGTGGGAGGAGGAGTTGTCCCCAAAAAGCCAAAGAAACACAGGGAAAAAGAAGGCTGTGAGGTCACTGGGAAATGGTGCTGATCTCGGGGTGCACTCACCCCCTGGCCTCCACACACCAGGCCTGCTGCGCCACCAGCACCCTCTCTCTCCAGTCACGTGGTCTCTGGAAGACACCCATCACGTGGACCTGCCTCCGAGGCCCGCCCATCTGCCTACCTTCCTCCACGGCCTGCCTCCACCCCGGCAAACCCTGGGGGTGTGCTCGCTTAGTCTCCCGAGTGATGGGGGCCGTGGGAATCGCTGGCAAAGGGCGGTGATCACTCTCCGCCACCCCCTCCCCCATCCCATCTCCATGTGTGTCCGACACCTGGCAAGGAAGCGAATACACCTCCGTGCTCAACAGTGACCAGGGCCCTCTCTCTCACCCCAACCAACCCTGCACCTGCCAACAGTCCCCGGACTTCTCCGCAGTTCGCCCAGGTGGCCGAGGTGGGGACCGGAGCTGGTCCTGCCCTCGGTACATTCCTTACCCCTAAACACTAGTAACAGAGATAAAACACTACTTCAAAAAGAAACCGCCGTCGGCGTGTGCCATGTGCTGGTGACTCGAGCCCTTCGCCCGGGAGCAGGGCTGGGCGCAGGTCGGTGGTCACGCTGCTCACTGACCACTGCCTGTCTCAGCTAACACACGCACCCTAAGGACCTGCTTGCTTAATATCATGGCACGTGGCTATGGGGGGTGCCCCGGATTTAAGTGCCAAACAGGATCGAACTGGCTGCAGTCCATCTGAGTTGGGTGTTTGACTCATTGACCCTATGGTGCTCCTTGGACCCACAGTGGGAGGCGGCGTCTGAAATTAAGTAAGTGGAGGACTCGCTAAGCATTCCGGGGACGCAAGTAACACTGCAAACCATCGCTTCAAGCAAAGAGGACACCGGGCTTCCGCCACCAGATTACCCTTCCGCGATCGAGGGTTTCCACACCTGCGCTGTGACGCCGCTCTTCTTGGCCGAGAACTTGGGCCTCGGTGCCACCAAATACGCCGTGGAGGCCACCTCTTGCTTTGGAGAGCCGGGGACGCCCGTGGGCACCGGGGATGCGCTGACCGGGGAGGCGGCCTCGGGGAAGAAGGCCGGCTGGGGGCTGTAGGCCGGCAGCGAGTACACGGACGCGGCCTGTGCGTTGGTGGGCGAGCTGGCATTAGTGGGCGAGCTGGCATTGATGGCCCGGGGCGGGAAGGCCTGCCTGGGGGCCGGCCCGGCGTTGACCTTGGCCGGCGACCTCTGGGGGAGGCCTGCCTTGGCCTCTGGGGGTTGGAAAGTGAACAGGGATGCATTGAGCTGGTAGGGCTGGTGCTTCATGACATCCAGAGCGTTGAGCGGCTTCTTGCCCTTCTTCTTGCTGGTTTTGGAGGCCTGCGGGCCGGAAGGCTGGGACTTGACAGCCGCCAGCGGGTAGGAGGGCGAGTGGATGGGGTTGTAGGCCACCGGGGGCGGCGCTCGCACATTGGAGGAGTACTTCCAACCCGCGGGGAGCGACGGCGTGGGGGACTGGGCGCGAGCAGCGTGGGCCTGCACGGTGTCGGAGTCCACCACGTACTTCTCCATCCTCGACTGCCTTTTGGCGAAGAGCTGGGCCCCTTTCCCCTGCATCCCGGGGAGCTCGCTGGGCGGGCCCACGGCGCCCACCTGCCAGGCGCTCCCGGCCGGGGTGGGGGCTGC